TATTTTGGGGTTTGTGTTTTTGTTTATTACAAAACTTATATTTTTGGTATTTAATACATCCAAACAGAAACATAGAAGTGTCGGATTTTCAAACACTATCTTTCTACTCTTTTTCATTTTATTTTCCCACAAGTACACAAAACAAAAAGAAAGTAGGTTTTGAAAATGGACGTTTTCAAGAATAAGTAGTTGCTTGACACTTATTTTTTGAGAAAGAACATGTCTGAAAATCAGTTCCAACATGTTTCTAATCATGCTTCTAATTTAATAAACTATACTTGATCAAAACTAAACTGAAAAAATTGACATGATACGTGAATAATATACCTTTTTTCTTACCCCTGATTGTTCTAAGCAAAGATTTTTGTAGAGTTCTCTCCTAGAGTAGGGAGGGGAGAGAGAGGTCCAAAGTGAAGTTAAATAATTGACACAGCAAATGATATATGATTCTAATCACTTTTTTTTCCTAAGAGAGAGAGAGTTTGGGATAAGGACGGGTGAAACTATAGTAGGGAGAGAGAAGAAAAATGATTAAAGGAGGCCGCCCCCATGCTAATAAATGATCCATGTATGTTCAAAGTACTTTTTTTATTTCTCTTTTTCAATTGAACGGTATAAAATTGTCAGCAACATTATGGTGTTCTAATCCTACTCAATAATCTTTCTAGATAGAGGAGAATTCTTATTCGACCTTAAATAAATTAAAATTTTAAGATTAAAACATCTCCATAAGTTTGATTAGACCATAACAACCAACTTATACCTGTGATTTATATTTCCTAATAATGGATGGCACTGAAATAGCAATAGCAATCACAAGAGCAGTGGGTAGGACCAATAACAACTCACTTTGTACTTACTTATCTTAAAATGTAGGACCCATTACAAAAGTGACACATTGATCAATATGACTTTTTAGGTACTCATAGCAATTATTTTCCATAATTTACCCCAACATTATAAATCACTGGAATTAACAAGTAAACCATCAATGTACCCATTCGAATTTAGCTTAAAAGATGAAGAACTTATTAACTTCTCGAAAATCGATGGTTTGATTCTCACTCTCACAATTATTGAACTAAACAGGAAAAAAAAAATTAAACTACCGACATCTTAAAATAACAATGTATTGCATCAATGTAAATTTGATTCAAGTAATATATTACAAGTGAGAAAGAAAACAAACACCATGAACAAGTCTAATGATCTTTCTTAAAACGAATAAGGAGCACATCCCCAGTATCAAGTATGGCATGACTGAGACCAAAGGAAGGAACCCAGTGAAATAACAACCATGATGAAGAAAGGCTCAACGAAATATACACTTTCAGTTTCACTAATTAAATCAAAGCTTTGATTATACTCATTAGTCTAGCACGAACATAAATAGCTCAACCATCCAGAATCCAGATATCAATTAAGGAACAACAGTGACTATACTCCTCTAGACATGAGATGGAAATTACATTCTTTTTTTTCTTTCCATTGAAAAGAACTCTTGTTAAAAGAAGAGAGGCACAAAATAATAACCCAAGCTCATCACCCTAAGGGAAAGCCTAGCAGGATACCAAAAAATTCTTCAACTGGCACTAATTGAAAAGGGTATGTCATTAAGGAAGTCCTTTCCCAAGGCAGATTGGAAGGATTGAAAAACAGAAGGGATTTCTCTGGCCTCAAATCTGCCACATGTTAAACACTCTTCAAAAACCAGGGCCCCAAAAAAAATTCACTTTCTTAAGAATCTTTTTCAGCCCAAATAACCTCAGTCGCTTCTTTAGGAATAATGACTCTGCTGCCTACAAGGGAGCTGAAAAATCAGAAACAATCTTTCAACCTTAGAAGGCTGATATTCATCATCCCTGTGTAGACTTTATAACCAGAAAGCTAGGCCTGCAGAGTCGTTCAATATTTTCTTAAATATATCACAAGAATCAGTACGTAAATACCAACCTAAACCACATTTGTGTGGACTCAAAGGACTTTGAGTTGATAGTATGTCATGGTAGAATCAATTTACAGATTACTTCAAGCAATATGTTCCTGTGTTTGGTGTTCTGAAACACATAAGCAATGATACTTGTCTATATCTACCTCACAAAAATGCCAAACAAAATAGCCCAAAAAATGTTTATAGAGCAATAAGGAGGAATTTAGAGAGGAAAAATTAAATTGTCAAATACATACACAATGTTTTTTTCTATTAAAAAGAAAGAGGAGCAACCTAGAGAGACAAAAATTAAACTGCTTAATGGGTTCGGAACTATAGCATGATTAAATTACTTTCATTAGAATGTCTTCTTGTTAATGTAATTGCAGAACCTGCAATTACATTAAAAGAGAGGCTGGGTCTAAGACTTCCTTCAATCTAGAGTTGAGAATAAATCGAGTTTCAGTTTTGTTTAGGTAACGTGATCTTGCTTTCCCCTTCACTTCACTGATATCCTCAATCATTTATCTTGGGATCAAATATTCTAGCAAGTTCAGGAGAGAAGCAAATTACAGAGCTTCCCTTTCCCTATCATTGAGGTTTCTTCTAAGTCACAATCACAACCTCCACTATCCTATCAACATTTTATCCCTGACCAATACCCTTCATAAACTTATAGTTCGTCAGATTTAGGAGTAACCGGGTGGTTGGGGAAAAAAATTCAGCCAATTTTGAATGCAAATTATCATTCATGGAGACAACCTGAGTTCATGAACTAACTAATATGGAATTCATGGCAATGATGTGTACAAAATGTACTGTTGAAACGAAAATCGTCTAGCTAGACTGAATCTCTAAACCAAACAAAACACCAGCATAAACCTCAAGACTAGTATTGCTAAAATATACTTCCCTCATCTTCCGGAATGCCCGCAAAGTCACCAAGCTATCTGAGCCAGCCTGATGACTCTTCCCGATTTCACGGTCCACATTGAGAATTTCACAAACCCTGTCGAGGCCGCCGTGCAGATTGGGGCAGTATTTCATCAAGTACTTCACGTCGAAAACCATAGGCCCAAAGAACAACCTCACATAATTTAGGAAACCTAACAAATCTTCTGGTAGAGCCCTTCGGGTTAGTATCTTTACTAGGTAGCCAAAATCGTAAGCGCTATGAAAGGTCACCCAAGAAATACAATCGCTGCACACGAGTCCTGACCCCATCAACAATTGGGCGAAACGAACAGAATCGATTCCGTTGTCTCGGTTGTACTCAAAATCAATGCCCTGCCGCTTCAACAACACAATCGAACTGTCAGCGTATGGATCATGTGCCACATCGAAATCCCTAAAATTAAATTCCCAAATGTAGACGTTGTTCGTGCCCAAATCCGGAAGATTACCCTCCTCGTCGGCGAGCGTAAGCCCAACCTGGATCAATTTGAGCCGATCAACATTGGCCTTTAGAACGAAGTAGTTGGTCTCCAGTCGAGTTCGCCGAATTTTCGGATCTGCCGGATCTGAATGTATAACCACGCCGGGAAATTCGGTGTCCATAGAAATCAGCGGAAACTCGTGTATAATGGACCGGATCAGCTCGAACTCGGATTCAAGATTGTTAGACCACACGGATCGGGTAACAATGGACCGAACAGGTGGCAGCGATTTAGAGTTGGACATGGCTTCGAATCGGAGAACACACTACAGCAAGATAATTAAAGAATCTAGGGCTCAGTTCAGCAATGGAGAATATAGCGCTTTGAAGAAGAAATCAAGAAGATAAAGATGAAGATGAAGAAGAAATTCAAGTCGGTTGTGAATCTTGTTTGTGATCCAGTCTGAGTTCGTAGTGGCGGGAAATGCCTCGATTTTATTGTTTCTTTTTTCTTTTCCATCGAATATTTCGAAATTCAAATAAATTTAAGGGCCAGCGTCACTGTTCTTAATATTTTAAAATTTTTAATTTAGTCCTTTGAAGCCCAACGTAGGCTCAATCCAGCCCAGCCCACTAATGAGCTGACTTTATAGAGCGTCTTCTTGAGCTAGGTTATGGCCCAAATGACCCAAAATATAAATCTAATTTCCTCACTTTAAAAATAAAAATAGGGAGCGCTCCAAAAGTAGAATTAATAAGAATTTGTAAGTATAGCAACCATTTTTTAATTTTTTTTCCTTTAGATGGTAAAATCTGGATGCTCATGACATGTAAATGAAAGCTAAAGTTCAATATACCTTTCATCAACATAAAGTCATAATTTCATTGAAATATCGGTGAAAATATTGTTAAAATGTCAATGTCAATGGATATTTCTGTAAAATTAGAAAAATCATAAAAAATCATAAAAAATATTTAAATTAACAAATAAACAATTTTTTATTTCTAAATTAGTTATAAATAATCAATATCAATATTATGTATATATTAATGACATTTTCTTAATATTTTTTTATTTTGTCGATTTTGTTGTGCTACGATAGAAATGTCGATTTATCTATACCGTTGAACTCATTAAAACATGAATATGTCGATAAAAATATCAACGTATCGACAGATAATTAAAATCATGAATACGAGTAAATAACAAATATTTTAGCTAGTCTTTACAAATTTCCTTTAAAATAAAGTGAAAAGACACGGAAGAAAACTAATTTTTTAAAAGTATAAACGAACTATAGGTTTTCTTTTTCATTGTTGTACTTTACAGTTATAATTGTCACTTCCTAAAATTTATTATTGTACTATAACAGTTATAAATTATAACGACAATATTGTACAAATCTATTAAAATTGAGTTTTTTAATGCTTTTAAATACTCAAGTTTTTTAAAAGAAAATTTCGGAGTATTGTGAATAAATTGAGTATTTTAATTATTTTAAAAAATAATCAAATAAACTCAAGTATATCACACCAACCGTTTGAGATGACTTTTGAAAAAATTAATCTTTAATAAAATAATTTTTTCTGCCGTCACATTTGAAAGAATTATTTATTTAGAGTCTGTTTAGCATCTTTTTCTTTTAAGCAGTTTTAGATACCTAGAAATATTAGAAAATTAGAGAAACTTTATCCTCCTCACCATTAAAAATTTGAGTATTCATTATTATTTTTAAATTTATGTTTCTGCATCTATTTCTTAATAATCAAACATTAGTAGGAGTTCCTCCTCGTAAATCTAACATCTAATAGTGAAGAGGAGTTCCTCCTCGTAAATCTATTTCGTTAAAAATATGATTATCTAAAAAATCAGTAAAATGAATTCTTGAATCTAAAAAATTATTTTAAATAATTCTTGAATCACCACTCATAATGAACAAATAGATTGCTTAGATTAAAAGATATATTAAATTAACCGCAAGAACAAGTTTCAGATAACTTTGAAAAAAAAAATATTTTTAAGTAAAATAATTTATTTTATAAGCGCTTTAAGGATGTGTTTGGGAGTGATTTTGGCACGGCAAAATCGTTTTTGTTATTGTCGAACTCACTTTCATTTCTATGGATCATGTTTGGCAAATTAAAAAATTGAATCTAGGAAAACATAAAGTCATTTAAAATTGGTTTCGAAGGTATCACTTCGGTGGTAACTTTGGAAAATCAATTATTTTTAAATCTATTTTTCCAAAATAACTCATTCTACCATCACTCCCCAACACACTCTAAGTATGTCGAGTATCCTAAAAGCACTTTTAATATTTTTTCATTATTTTCAGATTTTTCAAAATAATTTTAATTATTAACCAAACATTACAAAAATTTTCTAACTAAAATAATTTTTCAACATTCCAAAGTCTTCCCAGACTCACTCCAGAAGTACGTGCATGAGAAAAAATACTCATAGAATCGAACACCTTAAAATATAGGTTCAAATACTATTTTTGTCTACATACTTTCCTGTATGGTTCATTTTGATTACTATATTAATTTTTTGTTTATTTTAGTCATTGTGCTCTCAAAACATCGATTTTGCTCCTTGTATAAGTGTCTATTTCGGTCTCTTCATTTTCATTTTTATCTCATTCTTTATATCTTAATTTTAGCATGACATATTTCACTACATTTCTTAAAACGTAGCAATAAATTTGTATTAAAGAAGGTTTCCATTGTACATAGAATTTGTGTTAAAATTTTACAAATAAGGGTCAAATTAAGTCACTTCTTAAGAGTATAAGAAACTAAAATACACGTTTTAAAAGTACAGCAACTAAAATTAACAAAATTTAAACTATTTATTCAAGTTCATAATTCAATCAAATTAAATTTAATAAAATACAAGGTTAAAACAACTATTTTTTATTCAATTATATATATATATATATATATATATATTAACAATTCAAATTGACGGTTAAAAATTACTTTTTTTAACGACACGTAAGAGTGGAAATTCAATTCGATTGGGATTAAAAACGATTGATTAAGTAAGTAGAAAAGCTACGAAAAGATTCACGAAGAAAGTCATCAATAAAATAAATCTGACCTATTAAATATTCACATTTCAAGTGAAACAAAAAAAGATTAAATATATGAGATAGCAGAGAATTCAAAACCTCATCATTGAATGAAAACAGAACCATTTTTGTTTGAGATATAGAAAAAGGGAAGAAAATTTTAGGGCTTTTTAGTTATTAGAACAAAAAAGGATATGAAAGAAAAAATAAAAATAAAAATAAAAAGAAGAAGAAGAAAGTAGAGATACTAAAAAATTGGTTTCACAGAAATAGTAGAATGGAATTAAATTTGTATTTATCATATTGACGTAATACCCCCTCCTTGGTTCATTATTTATTCTCAACCGCCTCAATTACTCTCGCATTTATGTTCTTCTTTAATTTAATGCCCCCCATTATATTATATTTATGCTACTCACTTTACTCATACTCCCACTTCCCTCTCTTTTCTTCAATGCTCGAACCACTCTTTATCATTTAAAAACTTTCAATTTAATCTCCTTAAATTTTAACATTATCTATAACAAAATTTACGCTAAAGCTCCCACCAACGGTACTATTCATTCGCAATCATAATATTGTCTTCTTTTTAATAATATGTAGGTCGGATCACGTTGAATGTTGCTCATTCTCGATATTTTTCGACCCATAACTATAAAATTTATTATTTTTTTCTTTTTTGAGTTCATAACAAAAGGTGGGGTCTGACCTTTAAGAGAGGTAGTTCGTTGATCATGAGAGCAACATGCATCTTCAATCCTTTTATTTTTATCTAAAGAATCTTAAACATCTTGGTTGTTAATTTAATAAATAAATGAGTCGATTCGAGCATAACTCAGGTGAATAAAGACATCTATTATCATTTTTAAGGAGGATGATTTAATTTTTGTTGAACTAAAAATAAATAAATATATAAAGGAAAGCAAACAAACCATTTTTCTAAGACTTTTTGTTGATAGAAGTAAGAGTTTTTTTTTAACCTTTTTAAAATAAATTTAAAAGCATTTTATATAATTTAATCACTTTGTTTAAACTTTTACACTATCTTTCTTTTAGTTCATAACTTCTCTGAGTAAAAAATCAATTTAGTTCTCATAGTTAATTTTTAACAAATTGTTTAAAAAGAAATCTAATGTCTTTTGTTTATTGATTTAAGAAGAAAATCGTAGTAAGAAATTGACAACAAATACCTTAAAATAATTTTACAAAAAAGTTTCCGATCCCAAAAATAGAGATAAAAATCTAATTTGTTTTATCTGTTTTCTATCAATTCATTTAATATTATAAATTTGAGTTAGTTGAAAATTCATGCAATTTCTAAAATCACCTACCTTTAACGTTGTTTATATTAAGTCACCCCCACCTCCCAATTGGAGGGTGCCATTGGGCCCCACTGCCAACTCTTCCAACTCGTGGACCCCACTGCAACCCCTCCATTGGGCCCACAACTCTCATCCCCAACTTCCAATTTTCTTTAGTCCAAAGTTCTTATTTTTTAAAACTAACATCTAAATCTTTTTTAAATAAAAAGACAGTTACTATCTTAGGTTTAATATAGTTAGAATCCCCATAATGTATAGATATATATATATTTTTTAATTATTTCTACAAATCACCTAAAATTTTAAATTAACTTTAGTTACATAACTAAATAAGTTTTTTTTAGTACAAGTACAAAAAGAGAGGGAAAAAAAAATACAACATTTGGGCACTTGCAGTTAACCACTGGTCACATAGTCTTTGTGCCAAAAGAAGGGAGAGAAAAGCTGACTCCTAGACATTCTTCTTTAGCCCTAAAAATAAAAGAGAATAAAAAGAAACTCCAAATTTCTTCTCCTTTCTAAATCTCTCCCTCCAGGTCAATCTCACCTCCATAAAATAAAATTATAAGAAAAACAAACACAAATCCACTCACGAAAAGTTATCGAACAAAGTCCGCCAGCATTAAGATTCAAAATCTATTCTCCCAAATTAATCATGGATGTAGATGTCTAAACTGTGGCGGTCTCTTCCCATAATTTTTCCATCTTTTTTGTTTTTGGTTTGGTTTGGTCTAAGTTTTTCTGGAGGAGAGTGTCGCGTTGTCGTGGAGGACGTCGAGAAGGACGGTGCTCTTACATTTGGGGCATTTGGGGTCCTCCTCCGCCAGCATAACGTACATCAGGCACCGCGGGCAGCCCACAAGCATCATCGACGTCGCCTCCGGGCTGTTCGAGTATCTCGCCGCCGCGCCCTCCTCCGACGACACGCACGAGCTCGGCGGCGACGACGTCGGCGACACGGTGGCGGCCCGGCTCGGCGATTCCACTCCGCCCCTGGCCCGCGGGGGCGACAGGTTCAGTTTCAGCTCCAGCTTGGGTCCGTTGGTTCTCCGATTCATCTTGATCTTCTTCTGCAAAAACCAACAAAATTGAAATTTGATTATCGAAATCGAATCGAGAATTATTGGGCAGATGATGAATTTCTACTTCACCTGAAAATTTAATGGAGGAGAGGGGAAAACAGAGGAATCAAAAGAAGAGTTTTTTTTTGGTGTGCAGGGTGCAGGGCAGGGGAATTGGGGGCTCGCACGGGGATTATATATAAGCCCAGGAAGTGGGTTTTATTTAATACCTCATTTAATTTTGTGTGTGTTGACACACAGTGAATTAAAGAGCTCGGTTAAAGAAGAGTAAACAAAAATAAAAATGTCGCCGGTAATGTATTCATTGTTGCAAAAATATAATTATCCCACTTACCATATATTGGAAAATTTTAAAAATTTTCAAAACCCCTCGTCCCATACTGACTAATCTTATTCAACAACCACATGAAATATTATATTATTTGAATACATTATCTCTCATTTTATCCTAATTCTTTTTTACCAATAAATCACCTGTGATCGTGTCCTTCATATATAATATTTTCCTCATTGAAAAATAGAAATATATATATATATATATTTAACTATTCTCTATCTTATTTGTACCAGAGAAGTTGCACTCTCAAATGGGTACTAGAGAACATGTACCTAAATATTTTTTTATAATATTCTATATAAATTATGGAGGGTAGTCCATGGACGGAGAAAAACACATGGATAGATTAGAGAGGAGATTCAGTTTCACTCGAACCTAATCATTTAAGTTTAGAGGGTTCGGACGAAGTGAGATATTACACATTTGTATTAAATATGTTTGGTGTTTGAATTTATATTCTTCATATGAAGGCTAAAAAAAGTTGCACTCTCAATTTAATCTTGATGCTTCTAAAATTTTCATTATTGATGGTCCTATTATTTGATTCAAATTTATTAGACTGTCTCTACTTTTTGTGAAAATTAATAAAAGTCCAATGTATGATCAAGTTAATTTGTGTGACTTCACTCCCAATAAAGACACAAAAATCTAACCAACGCTCTAATAAAACAAGATTAATCCTAACCTTCTACTTAAAATAATATTTCAACATATGACCTTAATTAACATTTTACCAATATGTAATTTTAAATTCTTATAACAAAATGCTACATCATCGAACTCGTTTTTCTATAGGTACAAATAATTTTTTCTAATGCTCTTTAATAATGAGGGAACAAAACTAAATAAAGGATTTTGGTAATAAAATTTCCAAACATGTAGAGGCTAAAATTGTAATTTAACACAAAAAAGGGGGAGAAGAAGTAAACCCCCAGTTAAGAAATAAATAGAAAAGACCAAAAATAATTAATTATGTATCCATATAAATCAACTGTAACAGCTAAACTAGAATTAAAACCCCTTCAACCGCACCCAAAATATTTAAACACAACGGTACCCGGGAAAATTAATTTGTAGCACTAAATCAACTGCATGGGGAAGGGCAACTTGTTAAATGTTATTTTACTTTATTGAGAAAATTATTCATAAATTAAAAATAATAAATATAATTTTGATTCATTTAATTTTCTCTATTCGAAATTTTGGTAATGAGTTTGCAATAATATCACTTCTGGTCCTTCTTTCCTTATGGAGAGATCTTCAATTTCTTTCACCATGAGGGATATTTTAGCACCAATTACCAATTTCAAATTCGACATCGATTTTAATGATAAATTTCATATTTATTTTTATTATTTTTTTTTTTTGAGATTTTAAAGTTTGGGGCTTTTGCATGCATGTGTTACTAATGAATGAGAATGAATGTACCGCCAAACTTGTTAGTTTGTGTTGTTGAGAGCTAAAAGGAAAAAAAAAAAAGAAGCTTCATTTAATAAATATAATAGTAGGTATATGGGCTCAAATTGTTCCATCTCTCTCGAAATATAGACAAAGTTACGTTGAGAAAATTGTTTATAGTACAAATATCATTAAAATCGTTGGATGAACAAATCAAACGTCAGCCAAAATAGATTATTGTCGATCGCATGTGTTCGAGACAAAAAAAAACTACTTTAAACACGTCGACACACTATAAAGCTTGTAATAGGTGCTTTCATCTCATCCTAGGCCGATTTTTATTATTCGAAACAACTAATTTTATCAAGATGTAATCGATGAGTGAAACTTGAGTTATTCAATTTATAAAAACAATAATAATAGTAATAATAAAGTGTTCACTCTGTATAATTGAATTATCCTATAAAAACTTATTAATAATGGATTGGATGAACCAATAAAATTGAATTGATCAATTAAAGACTTGTTGTATTGTATCACAACAAAATGGTACTCATAATTAAATTATTAAATTGGATTAAAGTATGTGTAAGGGATAATTTAATTAGGTAGGTAGGTGTAGGGTTTGCTAAGTTAATTAAAAACATGTCATTAACTTAAGTACTAATTTCATATATATTATAAATGTGGAAAATGAAAGAATGAATAAATGGAAAAAGAAAGAAAGAAAATAAAATTAATTATGTATGGTAAAGCGCACCGTATTAATTAAGCCTCTGCATCATCTTGGGGTTATTAACTTCGCGACATTGATAAGAAACTGCCAGAAAACCTCTTAAACCTAAATATTAAGTTCCCCCACTGCCCTTTGACATCTCCCTGTCACCCCATGCAATGTCACTCTTTTAAATTCTAAACATATATTTATAAATACCATTTTTTAAAATCAAAATATTAATTACTCATTGGTCGTGCTAACGATAATTTATGTGGCCAACATAAAATTAAGAGATCGTGAGTTCGAATCCTCACTAAAAGAAAATGAGTAATCTATCTGTTCTTTTATTGATTTATAATTGATGTGAATTGAGGATTGATTAAATAGTTGGTTTGAATACTATACGTTTCAACAATACTATTTAAGCAAATATTTGTTGATATTTTGAACAAAAGTTTGATGTGGTAGAATCAGGGACGAAGTGATTAATGTGAACATTTTGCTTCTATTAAATTTGAAAAGTGAAGAAATATGGAAGAAGCTATCGCTTTTTAATAGGGAAAAGAAAAATCAAATTGTACCAAATTTTGCTCTAGTCTCCCTACAAAAAATGGCTTCTTTCATATTCTCTCTTTTTAAAGTTAATTTGGGTCAGCTAGATTAATTGCTACATTGTTTCAGATTCTATCACGTCAACTTTTCATTAAAAATATTAATAAATATTTATTCAACGGGTATTTTTCAAATATTTATGAAAGGTAAAATGTAGTATTGAAACTTTTAAGAAACAAGTATTTGTTATTTAACCCTTTGTGATTGTGTTGCTTTCACACAACATTAAATCTTCTAATAAAGATTCTTAAGCTTTTGATTATTAGGGAAAAAAAAATCCTGGTGTTGACGAAATATTTGGAAATAATCACTCTGAGTTGGGAAACTAAAAAAAAAACTTTAATAAAAACATTGATACTTTTCAAGTCTTTCTTTCTTTAGAAAATATTTTCAAGTATTAAATCAATTTTTTTAATTTTAATTCTCAATGTTGTTATTGTTATTATTATAAATTTTTGTTTGCGTGCTGATATTTTTCAATAACTCATTGGTATTTTTAATACTATTTCTTCTGCGACGTAGCGAGCAGTCGTTGATAAGTGGAACATTTAAATTTAAAAATAAATGAAATAAAACGACAATTCTTTTTTATCTTAAAAATATTCTTATTCAATAACAATTCTTTTTTTTTTTTTTTCCAATATAATGCTCTATAAAGATTTAGAATCTTATTCAATTTTCAAAGACAACAAATAAGGGAAAACAGCCAATTTAATTAATAACTATCCTCTTAGTTTCAATTTATACAACTTATTTCATATAATAAAATCTACCCTTAGCCCTCAATTCTTTGCGAAGGTATTAGAATATATACTTTTGAAACTTTTAAATTATGTTTAAATATTTTTTATTTTTTCCATTTAGGTTTTTTTTTTTCAAATTGTGGATTAAACATAATATTATTAAGGACTCATGGTATATAGTTCCTATTTCGCGTTTCTAGTTTTTGAAAAACATAAGTATTTGGAGCCCATTTGGTAACGTTCTCGTTTCTAATTTTCTTAAAAAATCTAAGCACTTTGCAACTAACTATATTTATTGTCTCCTTTTTTTTTTTGGAACGTTCTCATATAAAAATTTTGTAAACAATCAAAACAAGTTTCTTCTTTTTTGTTTTCGTTCCCAATTTGCTCCAAACATAAAAAAAGATTATTTTGACATACTTGAATTTACAGATGTTGGGGTCATACAAGTCATTTTTTTGTATTAAAAATAAAGAAACAAAAACAATAGATAGTAACGTTATCAAACCAGTCCTGGATAACTATTCTTATTTCTCGTTCTTTATTTTTAAGAAACATTTTCCTCACACCTAAGCAAAAGTAACATTTTTACCATTCTTGACTTATGAAATGCATAATAAATATAAAAATTTGAATACTTAACTTAAAATACTAACTTTCATATAAAATTTTTATTTTTTTAATTTAAAATGGTAAAAAATAAGAAATAAAAATATTTAACTTAAATAATAAAATAGTTTTGAGTACAACATTAAAGTGGTCAAATTCTGACCAAATCTCTCTAAATCTAGAGTAAGTAGACTCTGCATTCAATTAACACAACCCTCCGACATTCTTGACTTTTTTTTTTTTTTTTCAAATAAACTTGACCTATCAAATCTATTTTCCATTTTAGTTTAGATTTAGTTGCAAGTTTTTTTTTTTAACCATAAATCTATTTGGTTATAAATACTTGAATCGCTTATGATGGTAAGTCTAATGACCCAATCCATTGTTTAAAAAATTTAATATCTACCTCCCCATAAATATTAATTAATATATTTTCTTAAAGTTTCAAAATTTTTAAACTATTTTATTTTAGTATACTAAAACAATATCTATTTATTTTAGTGGTCCTTGAACTTTTCATGAAAAAAATATTTTAACATTCCACGCTAGTTTTAAATAAATATTTTGCTGAAATCTAACCTAACAGGCACTTTATCATTTATTCGATGAATTTAAAGGTCTACCTAAATTAGTGTACCAGGCACATGTACGTAATTGAGGGAGGTATTAAGTTTCAAAATATTAAAAATAAAGAAATAGACAAACATATAAAAATTAGAGANAGTA